ATCATCACAGCTCAGCATATCTCGGTATTACTATGTCTCCTGTACTACAGCAGTCCACGGATGAGCCAGAGCCAGCAGGACTACTACAGCAGCTACCCACGTCGCCCCTTTCCTCACAAGTCTACTTTGATTTCGGTGTCGAACGGTTCTTGCGAAAGGACTTTGAGGAAGTTGACCATCCACTGCCCCATACCGCACATCTCTGGTACATCGGGACCGGAGTCTACCACGGCTCTCAACTGCGGCGCAAACCGCTGCAGTGATGGCACCTCTCCTATCGCCTCAAGTACAGCCTAACAACAGGTGGTGACACCATGGCGATACACACAGTATCAATTTGGGAAAGTATGCACGTAAAGTCAACTACATGTGATGGTGACAATAGGAGAATTTTTCGGGATTTTTTCGGGATTTTTTCGGGATTTTTTCGGGATTTTTTTTGGAATTTTTTCGGAATTTTTCGTTGATTTCTGAACACTCCTTCCCGAATGCGTATGTAAACTTCTATAATTGGTGAGGAAACTCCTGAGCTCAACTGAGGGAAGCGAACATATATTCCAATACTGATAGCAGCTAGACTGAATTCGATCACCTAAAATTTACTTCGTCCTTATTGACTCCACCTGTTGCATTATTTGATCACAATAGCTCCCCCCGTATAGAAAACATGCCCAGCCAAACCTTTTCTCACCTTGAGAGTTGGTAGAATGCGGTAGAACTTATGATAGATCCCAAAAGTAACACAATCTGTATGACGGCTGATCCTCTGTACCACCAACGGTATGAAATTAGCCATCACCTAAAACACAATCAACAACAGACAACTCACCTTTGCCGGAAACCCACCGATGTCACGATCCTCGGAGTGAGCTTGCCTTGCTCATTTAGAGCAAAGTACATCTTGAGAATTGGCTTCGGCGCATAGGACTTCCTTTGTTGTTGTTCTTGTGGAAAACCCGGTGGTGGCCCTACGTCCGCCCGGGCAGCTGACGGCACTGCAGGGGTCTCCGTAACTCCTGGTATTAGTCTCTGACTTCCGAACGACTCCGCTGCTGGCGATGATGATGGGGTAGCGACTGGGGGCGAGGGAGACGGACGGGGAAGTTGAAGGCCAGGAGGTGCCCATATCGGGTATGGGTCGTTACAGCCTCGACGGCTGGCCTCACTGACGACAGAGGCAGCCGAACGCTGCTCTAGATTGTTCTGAAAAGATAAAGGAATATCCACTCGAGTAAAAAGTAATGTTGCTCACCGTGGATACAATGGGCGATAGGCTCGGACGAGACGGTGAGAGCTCATTAGGGCTAGCAGTAGCAGCAACCGAGGGCCTAGCATCCTTCGCACCACCCTTCAGTGGTATAGCAATGGGTATAGCGCCAGGCGGCGACCAAAGAGGCGGGGCTGCGGAAGCAGTGGTTGTTGAAGTCGAACTACTGCGAAGAATCTCGGGTTTAGCGGTCAACTGATAAAAAAATCATCCAATGCGTGAGGAATGGAAATTAGAAAACTATAGAGCAGTTGCTACATGC